ATTTAGGTTTATTGTAATAAAGTTTCTACTATGACATTATATTTAATAAAAAAAAAAAAAAAAAAAAAAAAAAAAATCATATAAGCAATACTGCTATCGCTATATATTCACTACTAGAGTCAAACTTTGATCTTATTTGTTACAAGAGTTACCCTGTTATGATAATCTTCTCACGTTAACTCATTGAATAGTTTATCCAAAAAGTTCCCTTCCTACAATCACCATTTAAAATTGTAGTTTTAAAAAGGTCTATAATGTTTGGACAACTTAAATATATTTATTAATTATTTAAGTTCATGAATTTTTCAATTGATTTCTCGCTACTATATGCCTAATTATTATCATTATAATGTAGGCCAAAATTACATATTTCAGTATGAATGCACATATTCAAAATTTTTGTAAATCTGAAATCAAGCCAAATTATAGATTGTTTTACATAAGTTTCTTGTAGTATAATGCAGACTCGTTATGTGTTTCAATTTTTAAGGATTCGTTTAAATTAGCAAGCGACTCGTTATATTTTTCTAATTTAAACTATCCCACGAGTTCTTAAAGCTTCTGCATTAATAGGGTTGATTTCCAATATTTTGTTTAATACATCAATTGATTCTTTATATCTGCCCATCTTTTGGTAAATTAAGCCGTGATTAACATCTAGATCAATTGCAAATCAGGCAAATTTTCTCTATATAAAATGTTTTCAAATTTCAAATTAAAATATTCCAACATCTATTAAACCAAACTTAATAAAAAATTTTTTATTTTAATTCTATATAATTATAATCCGCACTTTAATAACTTATTTTAATATTATGTTAACAGGGTATAAAATTTATACAAAATGATCCTTGCATTTTATAAATTAATATTAAACAAAAATCTCAATTTTGGCTTGGGGAACCTCGGAACCCTATTTTCAAGGAAAAGTTCCCAATTATTAATTATTTGCTTTATTTTCTTATAAACTGAAGACTAATGTAACAATTAGGTAAATATATCATAAGCCTTATATTTTGAGTCAATATAAATTGCTAAGATAAAATAAAATACAATAAATATAGTAAAAAAAAAAACCAATTTCATGAACTATATATTATAGTATCATTCTTAATGCTCGACTCAAAACAAAATTTGCAAATACAAATATAAAAAAAAACAAATCTAAATATCCATTAAAACAGAATGATAGTTTTCCAACATAATAAATGCCATATTTGTTAATCCAATACTATACCAATAACCACTATGGTCATCCCGTGGTTTGCTAAAAAAGACAGATGCACCAAAGCTTTTGCTAATTATATCAGTTCCCAGTGAATTTGAGATACAGCAAATCAGATCTTTGCCTATTCTACTAGCCCAGACTTGAGTTTTTGGAATACGGCTCCCAGGATTAGATGAAACTATATTATTTGCAATTTGGGACACATGGTCAACAGGGACTCCGGGACTGGCAATGAGGATAATATCATCTGCTACTAACTTTAGACCATTCATAGTAGTCTCAACAACAACATCAGAACCATAACTGTGACCAACAACAGTTATATGTAGTGCTGTTCCTTTATGTATAGTGATCAATCCTTGTTGGAACAAGTTTAATACAGACCCTGCTGCAACTGCTGATGCTATAGACAATTTTGTTAACCCAAAATCTAAGACATCTGTGAAAAAATCTATGTCTACGTCAACAGGACTTTCAGGTGCGTCATAACCAACCCAAATAATCTGCACGTTTTTGTTGATATCTCCATCACCCCTTTCAAAATTTCTGAGGTAGCATTATTAATGCTTAGACTTTGATATAGAGCATCATTAAGCCCACTTCCAACTTCTAAAACAGTGGTCACAATGTTATCAGCAATTTTAGGAAGACCAATTGAAAGGATAACATGTCCTTTTCCTTCTGTGCTAAACCCTAGTAGATACGGTTGATCTGAAGCAGGCCCTCTATATAAGTGCTGTGTGGGATCTTTTGGATCGATATTGCCAGTGACAACTTTTGGTTCAATTTGATTATTTTGTTTAATATCCCATTTACCACCAAGGCGAGTCTGTAGATCATGGATTCCAATAAGCTGTTTCTTTAGAACTACAATATAAGACTTTAAGTTTCGGTTGTTTTTAAATTCATTATAATTAGTCCTTAGGTTCTTTTCAGTTGAATCCAAGATCGCACGGTTGGCTGTGTCTTGTGCCACCGTGGGAATTCTGTCAGCAGAGCCAATATATTCAGAAAATTGGTTTAAAATCTGTTGCTGATTATCTGAAGATAGACCGTTCTACCAATTATTGATTTGAACCTAATGAAGGTGCATTAGGTGGTTTTTCATTTGATTGGCGACAAATTAAAGGTTGAATATCTTTAAACTGTGCTGGCAATGGATTAGCATCAACTATAGAATTAAAAATAATATTTAAGAGAATTGAAACTAAACCATAAATAAATAAGAACATGAAATAACAAAATTTCATATTTGTTAACTTAAGTAAAAGCATATTGATGCCGTGATAATTGTATTCAGGCAAAATTATATGGAAAATTGTTCAAGACCTTATCAAAGATAAAATGAAATATTCAATTTAGTTAGCAATTGTAAATATTCTTTGGTTTAATTTTTTTTTAACTTACTTCTGGAAGAGAACTTCACAAAAGTCTGGTGATCAGGGGCTAAAGACGATCATCCTTTAAATATTTTCCTGTGTAATGACCATAAATTTTTTCGTTATATTGTGATTTTGTTTAACTATGCTAATAAAAAAACCCTAATATTCTTAATGCTACACGTACAGTACATTAAAATAATTATTTTCGTGCAATACAGCCAGAGATTTTAACTGATATGGTAGGGCAATAATGATAACAAAAGGTACTATAATACTGTACATTTTCACTATCTCTATGTTTATAATAATGAACACCTATTTTTAAGTTGTTGTTTGTTTTTTTTTTTTACAAATTTGATAGTAGTTATCACTATGGCTATCGCTATATTGATTTTATTAGGTCACACGAGATTTTTTACAAAATCAAAATTTTCTACTTTCAAGTCCGTTATATGAATTTATATACAGTATATAATTAGCTTATAGCAAACTTTTTATTGAATATGAATCTTATATAGTTATTCACTAAGAATCGTGGGAACAAAGGTTTTGGTACCTCCCTTTTTTTTAAATCGACCTTTAAATATTAATTATGCATCAATATTTTAGACTTTTAATTAAAAATCGTGATACCTGATATGGATTATGCATTAATTAGATCACGACGTACCTGATCACTAGTCATATAGTATCGCGCGAAATTTTTTCGTTCAAATTATGAGGTGCCTCCTCAATACTATAATATTTTATTTTAATATTTGCATAAAAATCAAAAGAAAAATAGAAGCAAAAAATGAAAATACTTCAAAAGAATTGTCAAAATGTCGAAAGACAAAGTATTAACACTATTAAAGCAGCGAATGAAAAACAAAGAAAAAAACTACCACTAAAAAAAACTACAAAAGAACTACTTCTAAAGAAACGAATAAGTGAGATAAAAATTGATTCAATTTAAAAAGAACAAACTTGGAATTAAATCTATCAAATACATATATTTGAAAAATAATTGAATACAATATAAATAGTAATCAATGAAGTAAATTGATTCATAATTTGTATATAAAAGAAAAAATTGTTGTCTTTATCGAAAATAGACTGTAAATCCTTAACTTGATTATTGAATTTGACAGCAATTGCTATGGATAAAAGGAATAAAACAAAACACATAAAAACAAAAATAAAAGTACCGAGCTTTGAAACTTTCTTTTGTGGTTGTGCTCGCCAAAGTACAATATATGTAAAAGCCATTTCTTGACGTGAATTATTTTTATCATCATAACTAAAATCTTCATGAATTTGGTTGTTCATTTCTTTGTTTTTATGTTCAATTATGTTTTTATTTATGTTTTCATTTATGTTGAGCTGGCGAAAAACATTAACTAATTGTTGGTAGTATAAGCCACGTTGAAGCTCGTTAATATGATACTGGAGTTGAAAATTATTTTGAAAAGGATTATTTTCAAGAGGATTATTTTGAAGTCTGTTACATAAATAGCGATTCCTAAATTCTGATCCTTCTGTTTCGAATAAAGACATTTTTTATACTAATATGAAGTTTCTCAAGTGGAGAATTCAAAGTATTTGTGAACAGTATTTATATATTAATGGCAAAAAAAAAAAGCTAATTGAAAAGAGCATATATTTAATTATAAAATTTCTTACAAATTTTGAATTGTTTAATTGTTTAAATACCAATCTTGAAGTTTCATTATCAATCAGATATCTAGTTTGATTATTACTTTAAAATCATCTAACAATTAGAAGGACAACAAAAATATAGAACAATTAAACAATAATCCACAATAGAACTAACACAAGCAACAAACATCACAGAAAAGGATACATCCATTAATTATAGTGACTTTTTTGACACTTCAAAATTAGTATTTAACAATTACTTTAGATAACAATAAGAATTAGAGTAACAGGATTCTGCGGTGCATAAATTTGCTCGCTCTAAAAATACAGTATTGTCTCAGTAAGTGACCAGAAGATACTCTAAAAATATTTTTGGCTATTTTCTTTACAAAAAAAAAAACAAAAACATGATCTTAATCATTTTTTATAATCAAATACAATACAAGAAAATATACGCTGTGATTGTTGGATGCTTTAAAGTAATCAAAAATGTTTCACACAATTCTGAAATAAATTAGATTATCATACTCACTTAAGAAATTTTATATTTTCATACATGGCTTGTCTCTAATATATAAATACAGTTCAAATATTTTGAATCATTTTCATTTTGAGAAACCTAAAGATAAGGAATTAAATAACATCTTATATGCGATTTCACTATTTATTTTTGTGTATAAAAGTTTCTGTTTATCGTTATTAGCATTCGCACTTTTTCTTTAAATATCACTAAACGTTTTGAGCCAATTCGATAAATTTTTTTTTATATATTCGTGAAATTCTATTAAACTTAATACTTAATAGGTAATGTACATACTAGCGGTACGTTAAATCTCAAACCACTACGTTAGTGTAATATCAGATTTCAGACCTTTCTCTATAATGATAATAATGTATCACAGATTTGCGAATACAAATTGATGATAAATTGTACAGTGATAAACTTTCTCTCTTAGAAATGAATATGCCAAAAAAAATTAATGTTAATGTTATTGGTGCTGGTGTAATAGGTCTTACTACAGCTTTAATTCTACAAAGAAATAGGTATCTGGTGGAAATTCTATCTGAACATTGGCCTGGTGATTTAAATATTAATTATTCAAGTCCTTGGGCAGTGGCAGCCTGGAGAGCTAGCCTTTATATTGAAGACGAAAGGGTTCATGGTAAATTTAATAGCTGTAGTAATAAGTATTATTTTATATTCAATGAAGTAACAATTATATTATTGAATAGAGTATGAAAAAATTTCGTGGAATGAATTTTGGACCTTATCTGAGAACCCAGAAACTGGATTAATGCATGTGCAAATTTATGATTTTATGGATAAAAAACCTGAATTTGGAAGTGATATTTGGTTTAAAGATTTTGTACCAGAGGTATTATTATAATTATAATTAAGATCGCAAATTATCTTCAAATCACCTCTAAAATACTTTATTTATATAGTTCAGAGTGATATCTCTAGAAGAACTGCCATCTGGTGTCGAATATGGAGTGTTTTACGTAACAAGTTCACAATTAATCTATATTCAAATTTCTGCATTTATGCAAATAACACATTTTGAATGTTTATTAATAATAGTTAGTTTAAATGTTCAAAAATATCTACAATGGTTACTTGACCAATTCATCGCTAGTGGTAGAAAAAGAAAAAAGGTTCATCTTTCTCATATTAATGAATCATTTTTTAATGATAACGAAATTGATGTGGTAGTAAATTGCACAGAGGTCAATGCTAGAACTTTCAGTGGTTTGATAGATAACACAGTGCTTCCTTTACGTGGCCAAACTATTTCAGTTTGGGCACCACATATTAAAACAGTACATATTCTAACTAGTAAGTGCTATCTTATCAAAAATACTTAAACTATAAAAAGCCATTAACTTTATTAAATTTGGTAAGACCAAAATTCTTTTATATTTGTTGTTCCAAGAAGAGGCGGAGAGGTTATTCTTGGAGGAACTATAGAAATGAATGATTAGTAATTCATCATTATTTAATTTTCAATTATTATATATGCTTTTGTTCTATTGTGCGTTAATCTGTTACTATCCAAAGTAGTTCTGAAAACCCGGATCCAGAAACTGCTGAAGATATCATTCAACGATGTGTCAAATTATGCCCCGAACTAACACCAGAAGATAAAAGTTTACAAATTATAAGACATAATGTCGGGCGAAGACCTTATAGAAAAAATGGTATTCGAGTAGAAGTTGAGATCACAAAGAATACTACAAATAAAGATGTCATAATTTGGCATAACTATGGGCACCACTCTTACGGTAATGTATTTAAAAATACAAAAAAGTATGCATATAATATTTATTAATAGAGCAAGGTCTCACCTTTAATATAAAAAAAAAAAATAATATTTATTAATCATATATATATATATATATTTAAATAGGATATTCTTCAAGTTGGGGTTCATGTTTAGAAGCTTTTAAACTTATTGAAGAAAATATTCAAAGAAATATATAGGTCATCGAATTTGTGATTATAAATGCATCTTGTCATTTTAAAATAAAGGGCTTTTTTTACCGTAACTACAATATTTTAGGAAACAAACGAGTTTAATTGACATGAAACATATTACACAGTATGTTTGTATTTCCTGTTAGAGTCAGCGACATTTTTATAAATTTTTAAGTTTCATTATTTTCATATACTATTTCAGCGAATTTACGATTAGTTATAGTATAAAAAAGTAAAATATTATATCTAGAATAATTATTATTTTACAATTCAAAATGTCCAAATTCAGCAGTTCAATGCAAAGCTGTCTTGAATCTAATGAATAAATTTGCTTATTAATAACACTTTTAAATAGAACCATTAATTTGAAATCACACTTACCAAGTGTATTAGAACTCGTATTCGTTAATGTTAAAAAATTCAAAAGTCAGCTAGTATAAAATGCTTGTGAATCGAATACAACTTTATTAGGGTCATATTTGGATAATTCCTTGTTAATCTCTTAAATTTGTTTATATAATTCAGATAATTTATCAATAAAACAACCCCACTTTTCAGTCTTCCATTGATTGAAAATATTTAAAAGCTCTTGGGAAGTTGGTCTGCTGCCAGGATCTGTGTTCCAACATCTTTCTAAAACATCTATGAGCAGTTTGAGAATGTTACAATAAATTTTGGGACGAAGGCCTGCTGAAATTTGTACTGCAAGATATGCATTATGCAGGATATCATGATATAGTGGGTATCCAGTTAAAATTTCTGACATTATAATGCCAAGTAAGTATATATCCGATGATTTGGTATATTCTTGACCTGTTAATATCTCTGGAGCAATATATGGAAGAACACTATAAATTTTGGTTGAAACTTCTAATTATGATACTGGCCTGCACATTCCAAAATCTGTAAAGTATGGGTTGAATTTATTATAACAAACTATATTACCGGGGTGAAAATTCTTATACACCAGTCCCTCTTTATGTATTTCATTCAGGTTATTGATGATTAAGTATATATGTGCCACCTTATCATCCCAATCAAGTTTATCAAATTTATTATTAAGTAATTTTCTAAGGCTTCCTTCTTTAGCGTAATCCATAATCATTATATAATTGTTGGTTATAGGATCTTTGGTAAAACTATAAATTGCGATTGAAGCACTCTTCTTCCTAAGTTTTAATTGGCTTCGAACCTGTAAATGAATATGTTAATATTAATTTAGGATGACAGAATTAATGTATTCAATAAAGTATACCTCTTCTAAAAATTTAGAAGAAATTTCTTCTGAATCATTCAGGCTTTTTAAGCAAACATCTTTATCAAAAGACCTATCCCATTTTTGATTCTCATTATTCCAGCGGAGAATGTAACCATCCTTCCATCTTGCTCTATAAACAGTACCAAATCCTCCCTTGGACAAATACTTGACATCATCAAACTTTTCAAAAGGAACCAACTCAAGAGTTTCGTCAGAATTACATGCTTTTAGTTGAACATCTTGAATAAATTTATCCACTACTTCATTACTACTTGTCCAGGTTTTAAAATCTTGCTGAAATCGTTTAGCGCAACAAGGACTACACCATCCACTGCTATTGCATTGCTGTCCACATTCTTTACATATTCTAAGTTTAAAGCGAATATATCATTTTAAATGGACTATAATGCATGTCCATAAATAAATAATTTTATACTTACTCTCTATTTTTTAATTTAGACATAACTTAATGTATATATGCTATTCGAAACATCTAATAAGCTATATCATACTTACGGTCTATTAATTTAATGTGAATATAAATGCATTGAAACAGATTTAAGATTGCTTGATATAAACTATTAAACTTAATACATACTCATTGTCGATTCAAATAGGTTAGAAAACATTAAATTTAACTATTATCAACCTCATGATCTTTATGCTTACCATCTAAAAATTTTTAAGCAAATGATTAACTGTAATTAAAATATCTAATGCTAGTAAACTTTTATTGTTAAACGGTACTCACTGACTAATAAAACTATTGATTAAGCAATTATCAAATGATATAGACAAATAATGTAAAATACGCAAACATACCAACTAGTAATTTAATACAACATTGGTGAGAAAATAACTTATTTACTTAGTGTAAGCCTAATTTATACTCACTCTCTATTGTATATTGCAGACGTGAAAATCTTAATAAAAATACTTTCTTTTTTATTACGAACACAATAAACTTGATACCCACAAGCTATAGAAAGAGTTATTCAAAATTTTGTAGAATTTAACTATTTTTAATGTGTAACTTACAATCTAATAGTTTAATTATTATAATAGTGTTATTTATAGCAACGTTAATAATTATTATTGATTTAATTATAATAAGTATATACTCACTCCCTATCAATTAGCATGCGTAGTTTTATTAGATAATAGATACTAAATATTGATATAGAATTATAATTTCATACTCAAGTAGGGTGAAAAAGGGAGTTCTGGGACACTTTTTTCACACCTTTATATGACATATTGTTAAAAATCGCTTTAATCG